TGGAAGATTCATCAATGGGGTGCAGATACACCAATTTCTATTTGTGGTAATCAATGTAAAGGTAGTTTAAAAGGACGATTTTCAAGCTGGCAATGGAAATGGGATGCTAGGTTTCAATGTCCAGATAAGGCTCAAGGAATTGTAGGTCAATCCACTGCACTGAGCCGCGATGGATCTATGCAAAGAGCTATCAACGATTGGATCACCAAGGCATCACAAGCTGGCAAGATCAAGATGGAAGACTTCAAGTGTTGAGTTTTTCTTGTTAATGGAACAGTATTTTCTAGTCTAATCAAGAGTTGAACATTATGCTTTAAAACTAAACATCATTCATGATTTCATTAGCCCATGTACGACGCAACCGATAAAATGGGTGTGGGTGTGAGTGTGGGTATGAATCCTTTGTTTCTGTACACCCATACCCAGCATGTGTTAACGAGACAATGGTATAAGTCTTATGAAAGCATTGGATATTTTACTCGTTTATTTCTTGTTTACAATCATGTATATGTTTGTGAATGGAACCTAAATATGGCGAAGAGAATGTTGTTTAATGGAAAATGTCCTTCTACATTTTATCATATTTTGTAAAGAGTAGAGATAGATTTGATAGCAAAATTGGCTCTATTTGAAAACTATCATATAGTTTTACTGATCATATGTACAATCAAATGGAGTCAGCTTAATTCTTCCAACATATCATATTGTCCTAATGTACAGTAATCTATTTGATGGATATAACGATATATACAATCAGGAAGGTTTAGCTATTGTATGAAGCAGTGTGGTAAGGCTATCTCATAAAAAATAGATTGGATATTAGTTATTCTGACGAAAAGAATTGCAATAAACTACCTCATATAATAGTCAGATCCTTTTTACCTTGCAAATAATTGAATCATGCTGCAGATCTACTGTTAATAAGGATAATGTGATGTGTTGAAAAAGTAGCGAAAGTTACCTTAGAAATTGTACATGATGAGTGATAGTTTCTTTTAAGTTTCAAATAGAATCGGTTTAACAAGCGAAATCACCCTCATCCTTTGACGAACGTGTTATAATGTTAAATACTAATATTCAATATTCCTTTTCTACAACTATTCGATGAATGTTAGAACCACGAGATAAGACGTACATAAGAAGAAAACTTTTTTGTTTTCAAAATGACTTCAATTGATCTGAAACTCTGAAGAAAGTCATTGAAAGAATATCGAGAATGTAAATTAAATATTTAGAATATTACTTTTTGATTTAATTATTTAGGATTCCAGAGTGCTAGAATTTCGCTTTCGTTAACGTTATCAAAAGCAAACGAAACGATCTATTACCAAGTTTTTCATTCATCGAGATGTATAATCGAACTTACAGTTTAGCATTCATCGAATGCTGAAATCGACATATCTAAATCACTATTAAAGACAAATTATGCTCCATTGATGAGGAATCAAGTATATTTTTATTGAATTAACATTTAAAATTATTCTTCAGATGTGAAGTTGATTTATTAATGTAACGAGTTTATTTCAAACAAAAGTAGATTCTACTCATAAAACTTCACATCATAATTTTTTCCCATTACGAATGAAGCTCATAACAAAAATTCTTTTCAAAGTACATAAAAATCATATTGTTTGCTATAGCATAATTTAACGAGTTCATTTTTTCCAGTGAGTTCACGAATATTGCGCTCGGTTGTTATTCGACTAAGATTATCCACAAGATGAAACTTCTCATAAATAGTTAGTGTCCGCTGATAATAGTCAACAGCTTCATCGTACTTCCCTTGCTGACGGAGAATATTACCAATGTTGTTGAGACTCGTAGCAATATCAACATGATCAGATGGATAATATTTCTTTCTCATCTTCAATGATTATTGACGATAGCCGAGTGCTTCGTCATACTTTCCTTGATCGTAGAGAATAAGACCAATGTTATTCAAACTTGTAGCAATACCAACATGGCCACATGGATAATATTTCTCTTTCATTTTCAGTTCTCGTTGATGATAGTTGAGAGCTTCATTATACTGCCTTTGCTTATGAAGAACAAGCCCAATATTATTGAGTACAGGAGCTGAGTCTTTGATGCGTGCTGGATTATTCATCATCATTCGATCATATGCACGATTATAATATTCTCTCGCTTCTTTCAATTCACCTTTAAAATGAAGAGCTCTACCAATACTATACTCAATCCAAGCAAGATCTTCATCATTAGGATCATTTAATAATTGTTGAAAATATTTCAATGATTTATCATAATAACCTAAATTACACATCAATCTTCCAAATACAATCGAAACACTTTTTTCTTCTGTTTCTTTTTGTGTTAATTCAATATAATCTTTTGTAATTATTTGTCCTTCATTTGATACATTCATATTAATTAATTGTATTGATTCATTTTGTTCAATAGGTTCAATTGTAAAGCAAGCATTTAAATCAAATAAAACTTCTTTTTCTTCTGGATACTCACTAAATTGTGTAATATCAGCAAAAATAACAGTTTTACCAATTTGTTTAACATAATATTTAATTTGAAATAGGGTGTGGGTGTGGGTGTGGATAATCAAAGTACCAACACCCACACCCACACCCTCGTTCCATAAGAGAGAAGCAGTTCTCTTGCTTCTTTCTGTCTATTTCTTATTTTGAGTACTATTCTATTCATCTTTTTAGTTGAAAATGTAGAAAAAACTCGTTCTTCGGTGAAAAATCATCAATACGAGCAACCATTTTGCAATGATGAACTGGCAAAAATCCGGTTTTGTCCGGCCGGATTTGATTTCTCGTCCGGTCCGATCCGGCCGGACCGGCTCCAACTCTGATTCTAACATTATTCGATTGATAACAAATGGAAACCAAAACTATTGACAATATATTTAGTTCTATAGATTGCATGATAATGAGTTTTATTTCAATTAAATATATAAATTTATATCCTAACTTTTACATCCTTTTTTTTTCTTAGGAATCCAACAAACAAACAATTATTTAGAATTCATATTCTAGTCTGAAAAGTTCTTTGAAGATATTTCGTAAAGATATAAATTCTATATAAATGTATTAATAAGAAAATTACATCCATGCATCAAGTCTT